TTTTACATTTATAATCAAAGGCCAACATATTATTGAACTAGACTGGCTGACTACAAAATCTTATAATGGAGAGATAGGTCTTGTGTGATACCCTTGTTACATCAAAGTTGAATTTCTCGCCTTACAATATACACATATTTTATGAAAATTAAAAAAACTGGTAAAAATATTAAAATACTTCCTATACAGAGGTACCCTTATCTAAGGTAAATTCTAGTCACTGCTATAAAAAGGCATTAAAAATTAAGTCAAACACTGGTGTAAACCAAGTAAATGCTCACTATAAAGCTTTTATTTGTAAGGCAAATCTTCATCACATCTATTAGAATTTATTTTCACAATGTACTGTTTGGAGGTCCTCCCTTTTTAACTGATATTGCCCATAGCAAACGAGAGCTAAGACTTGCAGACAGGTTCACAGGGTGCAAGGTAAATTACAGATGCAGCTCACCTGCAAGTTTGAGGCAGTGACCGAGAAACAATGTGACACCTTCAAAAGAGAGCCAGCTTAAGGCTTAGTAATTTTCCTAGTTCACTGCATTTGTTCTATTTCCTTATTAAAGAAATTAAGCAACTTAGGTTTAGTATGGCAGCTAAAGAAAGGAGGAAACAAAGCACAGGTGGCTCAATCTTGCTGTCAGTGCTTGGGCAGAGAAGGCCCACAGTTCTTCTGGAAACTCAGTATTAATGGGCATGAAGGCTGAGCTGCTGGACTGAGACTCAAACTTCTCAGTTTCTCCCTTTCTCTCTCAAACCATGTGCATCTGGACACCCTCACGTCCTTCTGAGGAGGACATTTTCACTGACTACAGTCACAATATCTATGGCACTTACATTCTTCTGGTGGTCTTCTGTTTCTCTGCTCCATCAGTCATACAGTGATTGCCCTTTGTTTAAACAAATTCTCTTTTAAAAGCTGGAGGAAAACCCATCAGATGCTGTACTTAAAAGCAACTCTAATTACCCTGTTACGTTTTTCTAATGGTTGAAATGTTTTTATTGGCCTCCTAGTTCTCTATAGGAGTCTCTGATGTGTGTAGATGCTTTCAAATTCAGTCTTGGGCAGTGCACAGTACCACTGCACAAATTAATCACCAGCTGAGGATCCTGGTCCTATATTGAGTTATTTTTTATTAGGAACAATGTGCAAAAACCTGGAATTTTTTGGCCTAGGAAAAGTGCACGGCATGGCTTACAAGTCTTGTCATTCCTCAGCTAAACTTAATCAAGCAGAACAAAAGAGGAATGTGTGTTCCTGCTTGGTCAGTCTTGGATGGTTGTCAGCAAAAACTGTTCCTTGAGAATATGGATTAGAGAGGGGCAAGTGCTTGGTGAGATGTTCCAATTGAGGTCTGAGTTACAACAGACTGAAATGGCTGAATAAAAAACTGTTTTCCACAGCACAGAAACACTTAGACATGGATGTTTGACATAGAACAGTTCCCTGCATATGATCCCCTCCGAAACTCAGTGATGCAAGATCACAGATGTAACAGAGCTGAACTGCGTGTTTAATTTCTGTTAATTAAAGTTCTATTTTTTTTTTCCAGACTGTTTTGCACTGTCAGGTACTTGTGTACCTTTCTTGCAGAGGAAGCCATAACATGGCTGGCCTTCTCATGTACCAGGGTAATATTAGTGTAGTAAATGAAGATCTGTAATAACTCAGGTGTCCAAGCAGCTCACAGATTCAGTCCTTTATGGTGATTTCTTGCCAACTTTGCTTAAAATAGTCCATATGCTCCTTTCTGCTTGTGTACAGATATGAACCTGGTATGGTCACTTCAGGGTCTTATTTCTCACTTCAATAAAGTTTAGCTTCATCCTTTAACACTTGGACTTTCCTCTGGTTAGCTGGGTGAGCCCAGTCACCAGCAGGAACATGGGTATGGGTCAGACAAAGGTAGACTGGAAAAAGTCTTCCAGGTGATTCAAGGGTCTAATCCCAAACATCATGTTCGCCTTTACATTAAGAAAATTGAGTTCTTACACATGAGGTGATCTGTGAACCATAAATATTTTTGGTACTGAGAAAGAAAAGTGTGTTAGAAGAAAATTACCCTGTTTTAGTGCTGTGAGAGGCTGAGTTCACACATAACTTCTGCAGGTAGGCTATACACTGCCATCTGTTGAACTGTGATAAGTTTCTAATGTCTGAGTCCTTCACATCCATTTTAAAGTGTTTAAACAGGGCACTGCAAGTTAAACATCTTTAGGTCTCATCTCTTCTGAAATTGCTGATCTATAGTTTTAATTTGGTTCTTTGGCAAGAAACTCTTAAGCATTTGCCAATGCCTCATGGAACTTAATGAAGCAGCCTAGGATATGGATGAAAGCTATCTACTCCCCTAAAAACAAGCATCTGCTAATTAATGCTGTATAAATTGGAAGAACTGCAAAAGAGACATTAACAGCAAAAGAACTTTTGATGTGGCCTCCTACAACCTAACAGTACAAAATAAACTTAATTCATGTCAAAACAATAGCATAAAAAGTTGGATGTATATACAAGATATTTGGGCTTGACCTTTTTAAATAGTAACACTTAAATCGTATTTTGCTGAGAAGAAATGACCAAGTATAGGAAATTTCCTCTGGGAAAATGACACACGCCATACATTGCACGTGCAGTTAGGGAACACACACAATAGTAACAGCAGAGTACTTCTCCTGCATTCTATATTTAAAATATCACGTTTGATCCTGGATATCCTGCATTATCCCTCACTATGGTAAGATGTCTTTCAAGTGTTGCCAGGGTGTACGTCTCAGGACATGATGGAACAACGAGAAGGACTGACAAAAAAGATGTGTCCAACAGGGGCCAGACACTAAAGAGCACTAGTGCTTTTTGAACTATTGTGCACAAAAGACCCGCTGTTTCTTCCAGAAAGCTAAATCTGTGGAGTTTTTGTAATGTAGCTTTGGAACAGTACCAAGGATGTAAAGCATTATCTTGCTGAATGAGGGCAGGGAGGGGTCCAAAGAGAGAAAGGAGGATCTCTTTCCTTGGTGCTAACTAAGTTTCCGTGGATTGATGAAACACTATGGATCACAGGCAGGTCTTTTTCACTGGTCAAAAGAAAGGTCAGAATGGAGATTCTAATGTATGACAGCTACTTCCTTTATCAGATTAAGAAAAGGCTTTTAAGAAAATATTTTCTAGAACTGCCAAATGAGCTATTTAATTGCTTCACTGAATTTTTCCCACTGGCTTGTTACCAAAACAACAAACATATTTAACAAGCAGATGATGTTGCTTCTTGAATAAGTTTGTACCAAACGTTTTCTCCTTCTGGAAGCAGGCTGCGTATGCAATCCGTGTTCACTTGCCATCCCACAGGGATATCTGGGAGAGCACCATTCCCCAGAGTGGGTCTATCCCTGTGATAAGTACAGCTGAGGGAGAAAGAGTGAGCTGCTGGGCTGAAAATTCAAGACACAGTTAGAGGAAGACTTGCAGTTAAACCACATGGGTGATAAAGACCTGACTGGGTGGTTTGGTTTTTGATTTTGTTTTTTTTTTAAACTACAAACATGTGAACTGAAGGGAGATGAATAACTTAGTTGCATTTCATATTTTCCTTATGGACAATGTATTTAGGAGCTCACAGCAGGTGCCTAAGAGGAGGTGGGTGCTAGTGCTATGGCTTTGTTTTGGACTGTCTGTACCATATAATTTAGTGGAGTAAAGGAAATACTTCACAAAAGTATTTGTTATTTGAATGGATGATAGTCTGTGTCTATTGGCATCATTTATCATCCAACAGGCATGAGGTAGTTCATCATCTTATTCTGTGGAGAACTGAAGACATTGTTCTTTTGCCTCTAGGGTAGAAGTTGTACTATTTTGGGGGAGACTTCCCTTGGGCATCATCTTGAACCTAAAGCCTAGCTATGCAGCCGTGCCCTGTGTATTGTCTTTTTCATTCAGGCTAATTGTGGCAGTAAGATTCCTGCTTTGTCTGAAATGACTTTTGTATTCTGTACAGTTGCAAGTTCTTTACCAACAAAACCTCAGAACAAGGTGGCAGTAGTGCAATGGAGTCCTGAGCTATAAATACTACACTAAACCTAAGAAGTTAAACAGCAACAGATACAAAAATAATGTAGTAGCTAATAGCCTTGGGACTTGGGATTCAAAATACAATCAAACCCGAACTTGCTGGGTAAGGCTGAGTTCCCTCCCATGCTGAGAGCTTTGCTCCTGTTTCAGAGCAGAGTGGAGGTGAAATGCACCTTTTCCTGCATGGGTGGGGGTGATAGGGTGTGTCACAAGTGAACATTAATGCAGGTTTTTAGCATTTCCAATCATGAATGAACCAAGCAATGTGTGATATGACAGATTATTAAAGCTCCAGGTTAAGAAGCCCTCAAGAGTTTCAAAACTTAGTAATCACATCTATGCTAAGAAGCTTTTGAGCCATGCCAAGCCAGTGACTGAAGCAGCTGTATTGTTGAAAAGTAAACTTTATAACAATGAAAAGATTCTCATGTAGTTCAGCAAACAATAAAAATGGGATTAACTGTGAAACTGGTGGGATGACTTTTTTGAAGCCCTCAACATGTTTTCACTGTTTAGCCTCTTGTGTACTTGCCACCCTAGAACTGCAACATTTGGAATTCCTTAATTATTTAAATATATTTAATAACAGGGTTTAATAAAATATGACTTTCTTTATAATTAGAAGAAATATCCTCTGAGTTTAAAATCCTGTTTAAATAAAACTACTATTTATCATGGAGACTCTTTGAGAAAAGGACAATACTTGATTCATTCTGAGTATTGAATATGTTGGAGGAAAATGATAAATAAGGAGAGAAATTTCCCTTTCATTATTTGAACAGAAATCAATATTAGACAGAAAAAGCCAAAATCACTTGGGACTTTTAAACTGGTCTATTAAAGAAAAAAAAAGAAAAAACTCAATAAAAATGTTATATAAATAAAAAAGGCCCATCCTTTAAAAGGTCTCTTTAAAAAGAGGAAGCACTACATACATTTAAAAGACAAGCTGAATTGAATGTATAGAGACAAAAAATTCAGAGGTGATGTCCAGAGGTAAACGCTGGGTTGGATCCAGCTGAGAAGCTACGGCCTCTGAAAATTACTGTAGATCTAGTGATAAATAATTACAAGAAATAACTCAGAGCTACCAAATGTAGTGATCACTGGGAAGGTACAACAGTGACAAGTGACCACAGAATAAGAACAGCACCCAAATGCAGAGTTTGTTCTGTATCTTCTACTTTGCATAATACTACTAGAAAGAAGAATTGGAATAGGATTAGAAAGCTGAGTGTGCCTAAAAATATCCTTTTAAATTATTCAACACAATCTTATTGTGATTTGGTAGGTGAATCCAGGTTAAATTATAATAATAGCATGTTCACAGCAGGAGAATAAAGCCAGAGTCTGGTATTTTTGTGCCACTGGGTAATTATATAGTTCTAAAAATTATTATCTCTATGTATTTTACATTCTTTATTTGGAACAAAATATTAAAAAAAGATGAAAGTCTGTCTATTTGGATGTAACTTTCACACTTAGCTGGAAGTCTGCGGAGTATGGATCATATGATAAAGCCACTTCATGTGACATAAGGGAATATATTTTTCATGAAGTACAGTGTGGTATTAAGCTGTGTTCTGTACTAGTAGCTGTAACAGGAATTCTGTTCCTTCTACTCTTCAGCTTGTGTAATTAAACTGGGCAGAAAATACCATGGACTTACACAGCAAGGACAATGTTTTTCACCGAGAGTAGAAACTAAATAACAAACCACTGAAAATGAAGCACTGTCTTCACTTCAGTAGGATGCAAACTCATATCCCAAAGGACAATATGGCAAGAAAGCTAACGACATGAGTACACAAAGTTGCTCTTTCCTCATAATTGAGATGTACTCTTTCCTTAGGTCTAAGAATGTTCAGGTGGTGTTTGTTTACAACAGGTTGTGGCATGAGTATCTAAAGTAATTATTACTGTCAGAAAAGTTGAATTCACTTCTTCACAATAAAAAAAAAGCATTTAACTTATGCTGATTGCTTTTTTCTTTTCTCTGCTCCCCCCTCCTCCACTTCTGCCAATAGCAAAACTCACAAGTTTTGGTCATGTAGGGATTTCATGGCACCAAAGGATGCAAGAAAAATTAAACGGAGTCTTTAAAGATCATTTGAAGCCAAGTAATAGAAGGGAGGCATTGACAACAGAGAGCAGATGTCTTCCCTCAAAGAGTCAGTAGATAAGCTCTGAGCCAGCCTGGGCCAAGCATAATTGAGGGAGCTTTGAACTTGACTTTTCTGTATTTTCAGTTTAGCTTAACATGTGGGCTTTCTCCTTGACCTGGTTGTCATATTGTTAGCCAGTGTTGGAGCTGTAAGGAAACAGAAATAGTGGTTAAATAACTTTCTTGACTCAGGTGATAATAGTGAGAGATGCATTGGTTGACAAATCTAGAGCTACAAAGGGGTTTCAAAATAAGGCATGGGGTATCCATTATGTAACTAAATTTCTGTGCATTCCACTTTACAGTGAAGAGTATGCTGAATATAAAAGCTGCTCAGTCAGCTCTCAGCTCAGTTTTAGAATTTGGAACTGTTGGACAAAGATGGGAATAAAATATATTTGTTCGGTTATGGTAGGCAATGTTTGTTTACAAACTTAAACATTATTAACAAAACATTAACTATGCTTTAGCACTAGCAAACCCATTCTTAGCTGCTCACCGAAGATGGCAACAAATTAAAATGCCCTCGTGTTTGGCATGGTTTGAGGTATCATTAGGAGTTTACTTCTGAGGGCAACCTTTTTTAAATTTATGTGAAAATAATTTGTTTCCTCTTCGCCGTTATGGATTTGGGTTCAGACGACCAGTGCTGTGTTGGAATGGCTGTTTATAGCCCTTTCACACAGGAACATCTGCCTCTGGAAAAAACGAGTTACGTACAGCTGGAACTGTAAATCATCTGGCAGGAGAAGGAGAAGGCAGGAAGAGGTGCTGTGCTATTACATATTCTTGGCCACATCAAATAAATTGTGGTCATGCAACAGGAAGCCTTTTCTTCCTGCTTTCATTCTGCATCCCATAAATCTACACTTGGATTATTTCCTTTAAAATTATACTTCAAACAGTATTTTTCGGAATAAGCAAAAGGCAGATTTATTTTTTCAATATCAGCATACAAACCACCACTATAAAATCTGGGTCACGTTTTATGGAGGTGTGTATAATTCTAGTTGCTTTCAACTTTGAAGACAGAAAGTGGTCCAGCATGAATACTGATAAGTGTAACAAGCTTCATATTTGCATCCTTTTTATCTTCTACAAAAAAGAGTTTATTTCAATAAGCTCATTTTATTTGCTAAAAAGGAAAGCAGTATTTGGAAACCTACAGTGTCTTTTTCACAGTTTAAGAAGTCCCCAGCAGTGTTTTCAATCACCCTGTGGGGAAAGCCTGTTCCACATAACCTAGCACATTATTTCATCATGGCCATTATGTGTAAGCTCTGACATTGGATATTTGTTTTGCTGCTTCCCATGTGTTGTGGGACATAAATTGTAGTTTTGGAAACATGACTTCAGATTGCCCTGCAGTGACTGAGGGAGAGGCCATGACCTGTTGAAGTGATAGTCTGGAAATACATTTGTCTCTTTGTGAGATTTAACTGTATTCAAATACAACTCAAAATACCCGTAGTCAAAGGAGGAAGGTGCCAAAAGCCTTCCAACAGAGTTGATGTGTGTGGCACTGAGCCTCAGATTAGTAGACTGTGAGAACTACAGACCTGTGAAGTCATTACGAGAACATTGGTGCAAACCTGCAGTTGTTTCAAAAGACAGGAGAGGGTTGGTATGGGGAGAGGAGGAACGTGAAAGGAGTACAAACCTTAAACTGCCTGACATTTCCTTGGGCCACGAGTTGGTGCTCGTTTTCAGGTGTGATGCAGTAAGCTAGTCTCTAAACCAGATAGGAAGAAGAGGAAAAAGTCAGCCATATGAAGTGGGATTATGTATGTAATCCCCAATCTATAGTGGGGAAGTAGCATGAACTTTATTTAAAGTGGTAACTTAAATCTTTAATATCACTGCATCCTGTGCCTTTACCTTAGTCACGGAGAGAACAAGCTTATTGTAAGCCCTTGGGTGTTAGCCTTTAATATAAGAAACAACAGTAGAAAGTTTATGCAAATACTAAGTCCAAATATTTAGCAAGTGCATATGGAAAAGAACATCAGGGACAAGTTCATATCACAGGCCTTATTTCCTCTAAATTCTTGCTTTTCTCTTAGTGCTGTAATAGGATTGACCAGTCCCAGAGCAGGAGAGGAAGAGGTGCTGGCTTTCTCCCAGCTCATTCCCTTGTCTACCCCATGCTGTGCCCTTTGAGATCACGTGCAGTATTTGGTTTATCAGCAACTTTCAACCAAGGAGTTCCCACTAGACTAAGAGCATACCTTTCCCCATGCTTTTAAGAGCCACAATTCAGGGCATCATATCTTTTGATAGTTACTTGGCTGTGACATATTAGCCTTTTGCTACAATTCTCATGGGAAAGCTGGAGACTGCTTTTACAGGAGCAGTAATAGACAAACCTGAGCTTGCTAACAATACAAAATGAATGACCAAAGTCTTTTGGCCAAAGACTTCTGCATCCCCGCACCAGTAAACTTGAGCAATCAGAGCAACCTCAGTGGCATATCCCACCCTCCCAGCCTGTGGATATATGATTAGATATTCTTAGAATGCTAAAATAGGAGAAGTCTGAATTAACTTTGTACATATGACAGTTTAAATTCCAGTACACAGTGATAAAGCATACCTTGGACTGAACTCTGTTCAGGTAAAACTGTGAAGACCATACCTCAGCACTGTTCATGAAGATACCATAATTTGTACATTTTTTGCTAATGAGCAAAATTTAATCTCATCAATTGGATTAATCACAGGCATCAAAAATAATTTTTCAAACTTAATAATGGTGCTGTCTGGAAAGCCAATTTCTATCTAGAAACTCAGGCAGCACGCAGTAATCCTACCCCAAAACCCTGATCCGTCTGATGGACGGATTCAAAAGGTCACTCATAAGTAATAAGTTTCGGGAGCAGGAGAAACAAACTGCCAACTTAGATCCAGCCATTTCATTTCACAGCAACATTTCATGACATTTGACTAGTGTTCCACTCACTTCTTTAAAGGTCCCACGCACATTCATAAATTTATAGATGATATAGGCAGGCACAAGTATCATGGAAGATAATGCTATTCCCCAGCCGATGCGGTTTGCCCAGAGAGGGAAGGTGTAGTCGTCGTAGGTCAGAGGTTTGAAATTTATTATGCTGACTATCACCACAAACTGGAGGAGAAACAATCAAATAGACCATAGTTTTAAGATGAAGAAACTTACTGGCAGACTGATTCCATGTGTTCTGTTAGGCAGTCACACTAAGGTATATTTTGAACTAGCTTTACTATTCAGCCTATTTACTTTGTGCCTCTTACTGCTTAAGTTCTTGATGCATTTACAAGTATTAACACCTCATTTCAGCTACTCTGAACACAGATTATTTGAAGTTTTGATGGGAAGATCAGGTGATTGTCTGCTACTGCCTCATTTAAACTACTGTTATAGACATAAAAAAGGGATTCTGTGGTCAAGAAAAATCTCTGCAGGATCTACTGTTTTCTCCTTTGTTTTCCAGGGACATTAGGCCTGTTTAGAAGCTTTGTACCTAATTTTCAATGAGAGGCATAACGCAAATTCCAGGGTGATACAATTACTGAGGAAAGGCCAAGCAGCCTCAAGGCCTGGAAAACAAAGTTGTTTTTAATTCCTGTACTACCCTGTCCAGTGCTAGGTGCAAGAAGGAAAGAGTGGGGTACCACCCTACTTCCCTCCTGTTAAATCCATATGTAACACGCAGAGTACCTTGCTTTGGTTCTCTGGGCCAATACATTCTGCTCCATATATGCAATTTCAAATTAGAGTACTTCGAGCCTGGGGCTTCAAAGACTGCACAAGAAGACCAATGGTGTGGGTTAGAGGAAGATGGTAGCGTGAAATCTCATTAGAAAAATATTAATTCCATTTAGAGATTTTGCTTGGGTTTACGTTCATAGATGCAGACAGTATGGGGAAAGAGCTCTGAGCACTTCCAGGTGGAAAAAAACAAGAGTACCTTGTGATGGCTGAAAGATGCATTACCTACTGCAGATAGTGCAGTACCTTTGTAGGCTTTGCTAGGAAGGTATTCAGGCCATTTCACCAAGAAGTCTTAAGCTACTTAAAGGTTCGACTGACAGACATTCCAACATTCTCTAGATAAATTGCTACAACTCTCCCTTTATAAAATTCAAATTTTTGAGTGTCTCCTTGTGTGCAAATAATAAGGATGCTTGCTGCAGCATTTTTCCTTTCTACTTGAGTCGGCCTTCTTGAAGTGCAGCAGGAATAGTTCCATACAAGTTTCTTTGTAGAATTGCATTTAAAAGGATAATTAATAGGGATGAATTGGGGTCATAAGCTTTAATATTAAAAAAAAAGAAGGACCAGTCATAAAAGCCTACCCAGTCATGTTTTCAGTACCAGTACTGCTTTAAGAATGCACAGCTTTAATGCAATTAATAGCTTCCCAAAATCATATTAAGGTGAAATTTCCATTTTATTATCCTGACCTTTTATTTAAAAATATACATAGGAAAAAATTCCAATATGAAACTGTAGTCTAGTGCCGAATCTAACCTTTACACAAAGCAATCAAATTCACACTTGAGGATTTTTTTTTTCCCAAATGAAATTAAGAAGTTTATTGTCCCAGTAGAATGGTTTGTGTTTAATATCCATAGGTACTGGGTGGGACAGGGAGGACTCTGTGTAAGCGCTCCATGTTCCCTAAGAAAAGCTACTTTCTTTAAATCATGTTAAGATGAAGGAGCAGAATTAGCCACAACTAGCTTCTCTTTCATAACTGAAATGTATTATACAAAACATAACCAATGCAACTGAGGAGAAAAAGGGATTAAATTGGAGTGCCTTCTGTTCATCCCAACAATATCTGGCACAGCAATGGGTATCCTGCTCTTGCTATCTATTGTATATTCTGGGAAGTAAAACACTGGTATTCTTTCCATGATGAAATAATTCTCAACACTTACCAATAAAAAAGCAGGGCTAACAAATTTCCAGCACAATCTCCAGTAGAGGCCTGGTTTGAAGCCCATCATTTGTTGAATATCTTCACTGAATCTGTCCACACCTAGAATGGATGTGAACATGGGAATGAAGTAAATCTAAGTTGATGAGATGCTGGCACACACAAAACACATTGTTTTTCAGAAAGCAGACATGAATGACTTCCAAATTAGAAGACATATGAAATAACAATGTCCTTTCAGTGACTGGATGCGTCTTTGACATCACTGTGTCCAAGACTTAAATGCCTTTAAAGGCACTTCAGGCCTGTTGCAGACAGCATTACCATTGAAAACAGGCATTTGACAAATATCTAGAATTCAAGTTGTAAATGGAACACAACGTTTTTAATAGTTGTGGACTATTGTAACCTAATTACTCCACGCTACTATGAGTACACTGAAGGAAAATCTAGACCCTCACTGACACAAACTGCTTAATGATAATGAGGTAGATTCATATGATTCTTAATTTATCAAAGATGTTCCACTTGATGGCATACTAACCTTTTAGTGCTTCACTGAATATCACAGAATTTTCATTATACTTATTAAAAACAGAGTTTCATATTTTATCACTTTTCCAAGGAACTAGGGCGATGCTTCTTCTGTTCAGTGTAAATATGTACAAAACTGCATCATTTTAGAATGGAATCATTATCACTGACATAAAATGGGGCAAAAAGTATCCTTCTCTGTTTTCTTTAAGAACAAAACAGTCTCTGGCTCTACACCCTAGAGACAATGGCTCATAGAGATCTCTCTAGTGCATTCAGTTATGTCAGACTACTTGTTTATAATTTATTATACTTTATGTGTTCAGGAAGTTTACTTTCAATCCTGAACCCCATTAGGTAAACTGTAGAAATGCAGCTTTTTGCTGTATTTCTTCATTAGAGAGGATGTATAGTTCTCCATAATGATTGTTTCTCTTCATGTGGATTAGTTTAGAACAATTTACTTAATGTAAATAATTGGAACAGCTTGAGTCAATCCTTTACATGCAACAAGGATGCAAAATATTTACAGGGTCTGGACATTTGAGTGTAAATGTCTCTGATTTTCCACTCCCCAATATTATGTACAGGTGAAGAGAAGTATCCAAGAAGATCTGCAAATGCTCTTTAAATTTAATCTGATTCTATTTGCAGTGCCTTTTGTGAACTTTAAAGGGACTGAATTTCCACTGCTATGAATACTGACTGCAATTTATCATTATGCAGAAGGTCAAAGACAAGGACTAGATATCTCAGAAAACTTTACTCATGTGTTTCCAGACAGATGCAGGCAGAGAGAGCTCAAACAGTGCTTGGTGTTTGGTTTCTGCTGAAAGTGGGGGACAAGCAGGCCATGCTCTCAGTCTGCTCTGTCCAATACCAGGGTTTTTCAGTGCTACAGGTCTTCAAATAACTGTTCTAAGAATCAGAAAGGTAGAGCATAGTTACAGGTACAGATGATGGTACTTGTCGGGTTTGGTTTTTTACACTTCTTGAAAGCATTTACTCAGGGTTTTTTGTGATTCTGTACGATAAACCAAAACTGTGGATGACATGTTTAATTACAGGAAGAAACTGATGTGACCAGAAACAAAACTCCAGATTACTTGCTGGAGACCTGGCAGGGAATATGGAAATAATCTCCTTGCTTTTCCAGGGAAAATGAAGTAAAAGATATTTAAAATTTATTGTGAGGTCCTCGATAAATACACTGAACCCAAAGAGACTTCCAGTGTAATTTCTGAACTAATAAACATTGCAGCTGCCTGAGACTGTCACCATTATGTTATGTCATAGGGCATTAAATGGCACAGAAAGTTCGTACATAATATTGTGTTGTCAAGGGAATTAAATCAACATACAGAAAACAAATAGATTAGGAAGAGAATGAAAAGTAGATTTTTATAGCTATAAAAGTAAGTTACCCTCCTCACATTGGGACAATCATCTTTTACCTGATGCAGAGATGGGAGTTGAGATAGAATAAAAGCCCACATGTTACCAGTAAGTCCTGCACCTGCTGCCAGCTAGAACTTGGTAAGTTATTCTGCTTTACAGGCTCAGCCAGAGGCTTCAGAACCACTCGTGTGCACAGAAGCCCTTGAGCAGGTCCTGGCCCTGAGGTGAATCTGCTTAGTGGCTGCAGCTGAAAATATTTGTGGGCATGTTTCCAAGAATTAGGGCATAGCTCCAACAACCCTTTGGATCTCTGCAAGCAATCTTTGTATGGGTTGTTTTCCCCTCCTGTCTTTTTTAGCTGTGTCACATATAGTATTCTTTTATAATTTTGGAATTATTATTATTTTTTTTTTAAATTTGGAACTTAAAAATTAGTAATACTGCCTTTAATGATATTCATATGATTTACCGGGCAGCAGGAAGAAAGTGAGCCATGCCAGTGCCATTCCCAAAGAATGTGCTAGTGCAAAAGCAAGCAGAACTGCAGCAAACATCTCCCCCCATGGCAGTGCAGTAAACTTTCTGAGTTGGTTTACCCCATTTGTATTTTCACTCTGTGGAAATGTGCATGTTCATACTCTCTCATGCCAGCCACACAACCACACAAAACCATCTGTGAGCAAAGGTGAGTACCAGCAGTCAGTGCTTGGTTAAGTTCTTTCCCTTCTGCAAAATCGAACAGATGACCTTTGGTTGGGGTGGTTGGTTTGTTTGTTGGTTGGGTTTTTTTCTGGGTTTTGATGTTTCAGGGTTTTTTTCTGAATAAATTCAGCTTTTGGTCTGAAATTTCAGCCTGAGATTTTTTTTTTTTTTTTAGGTAAGGATGAGCACAAGTACGAGCATTGAGAGCTCGTACTGAGCTTGTTCCCGGTGTGGGTGTTCACAGTAAAGTCTGATTGAGTAGAGATTTTCCTGCAACTGAAACCAAAGGGCACTTTTGTGCCAATGGAAGAGGTGTCTGGCTTTTTGGTTTTTATTTAGAATATTCATCAGAAAAATGGCATCAGAGTTGCACATGAGGAAAACTGGAAACAAGCTCACAGACACACCTTAAGATCATCTGCATAGTAGAACAAACTAGCTCTCCCTTCTCTTACATCCACAGTTGGCCTTTGCAAGAAGAAACTTCATAGTAAGTGGTCATAGGTAAAATTTGAACTAAATTTCCATGGTTTTAGTCTGTGCCAAAATGTCAATGCTTGCCTTCAGGCTGGCTTAATATTCAGCTGGGTCATTAAGGCAACTGGGGTCTATCAGAAAAAAGAGGTAGACAAGATCATGCCAGATTTAATCAGTTTAAATAGCACTTGGGGTTGTAATAAGTTCTTTATAAAGCAACAGGTCATGCTGTGTCAGTGAAAACATCTGTCAGTGCCTAAGAAAAATGAAGAGATATTTTCCTCATCACAGGGAGGCAAGAGGGAGAAAGGAAAGAATGATAAAAGGACAGAGGGTGTAAAACAAAATTTGACTAACCTTGGCTTAGTTTGTGAACCACACACAAGGCTTAGCCATTGTAAAGTGCAGTAAATCCTGTTTTAATAGTAGCAGAAAATAGCTTGTCCTTACGAACTGAAGAAGCCTCTGCTTCCAAGCAAAGCTATGAACACTTCTGCATTCAGCTCTTTCATGTGGATTAAAGACAGTTGTCTGTGAAATACAGTGCCTCTACTATTTTGAGAGACAACAGCATATGTGCTGCTAACTACATGCTGATGTTGGATGACACAATTAGTACATTAAAGCTAGAAACTATTTCTTTAGTAGACAGAACAGCTTTATGCATGACTGCCATTCTTTCACCTCATTCACCCTTCAACAATTTTTAGCTGCAAGATAAAGCTTGTTTGATTAGAAGAACATGGTGAGGCAAAATGGATGGATAAATAAGTGACTGAGGGAGGCAAAGAGCAGTGAGAATAATAATGTCTAAGAACCTTTTGAATCATACATTAATTGTAAACACTATGTCTGAATAGAAGGAATATGACTTCCAGGGGAAGAACAATCTTACTGGGAATCAGGGCAGCTAGTTCCATACAGACTTCAAGGGAAGAACAAAAGGGGGAACAGGTGATTCTGTCTTTAGGTTAATCTACTTGCTTTGAAAGTACCACAAATAAACCTGCTACTGCAAGTCATCAGCAATATTAAGGAGTTATTAAATACTGGCCAAACTAGTAACTTCTCCATCCCATCACAATCTGTTTCACAAGACAGTTTTCTTTGGCTCTGTGCAGGGTTTCAAAGCTTGGCCCACTCAATGTCTGCATTCCTGTCACTGTTCATGAATCGGGTGAAAATCACTCCACGAAACCTGACTTGTCTTGGTTTCAAGTGTACAAGGCTATGCTGTCTTCCCTTAAAACAATGTATAAGTCTATCATGAGCATTTGGAATTTTAGAAAAGGTTTTGCACATGGAAGGGGAAGTGCTTACCATAAAACCAGGAGACTCCGATTGCCTCCATTAGAACGGCGAACAATATTGAGGTCCCAGCTGCAAATGTGTCCAGAAGTGTGAGCACATAAATTCCACCCTGGCATTGGGGAGTCAAGAGATGCAACAAAACAGAGTTACAGATAAAATAATCTTGGTAGTTTAGTAGCTTCTAAACAGAAATCTGCTTTACTTGAAACATTATCTTAACCCAAGTATTTTAATATGGATCTGTTGCTGCAAACATGAGTTCATATTTGCATGTAAAATAGTGGAGTCAGATTTGCAGCTCTCCTAAAGAGGCTTCTTTTCATCCCTGTCCTCACTTAACTGGGAAACAGAAGCCTCAGCTTAGCCTGATTAATGAGTTCTCTTGGTACTACTGTTCAGTAGGAGCTGAAGGTACTGGCTGTTTTGGGAAATATTCAGCAGCTTGTCTAGAGCAGTTAATGAGATTAATGGCAGGAATGGACCTCTACAGGTTTCCACAAGCCATTATCAGCCAGTTTGTTCCTGACCATTTGTTCTATAGTCCAGTGAATCTGCAGTCTTGGACCCCTTTTTGCCTGGTTTTACAATGTGCTGTGTATTTGTGCCATTTGGTGTATTTTGCTCATTTTACCGAGTTTGGGCTAACAAGGAGTGGAAGATCATGCTATGTTTACTTGTTTCGAAATGAACCTGGATAAAGTGTTTCAGGACATTCTTTGTCACTTGGAAACAACTGAACAGTTTGTAGTTGCAGTAAATTTTTGTTAAAATCTTCTTTTATGACCAAACTTAATCTGACTATGTCTGTTCGGAAAGGGAGGAACAAAGGAATCATTTGACGTGTTTTTACCCTAATGGTATAAATAACACTTGTACTATTTAGATCTGTAGGTGATTTTAATCTCTGTAATCAGTTTCATTTTATTTTTTTTTTCTTGTAAAAAGATGTTTTTCTGAAACAGCTGTGCATATTTACAAAAATAGAGAGACAAGTACTTAGGCCTGGTCTAGGTTTTTAATTCTGTGGGGACTTGTCCGGAAACTGAATGAACTTTGGTTGTTGTGTTAGAAAGAAAATGTTGCTTATTGAATGACATTTGAGTTTGACCTCTTGTTTTTGCTCTACACCTGCTCCAAACGAATGTCTTTGCTATCAAACTTGGTAAAGTGAATGACAAATACGATTTTGTAAGAAGCATATTTGTTTCAGAAACAGCTGCTTTTGAAAATACAGCCTTAACATTTCGGAGGGCAAAATCAAACGTGAATTTCATGTGATGGTCTCATATGGGTTGTTCTTTTTATTTTGTACATATTAGAAATGTTTTTCTTCAGTTATGTATACTAATACATTCGGTCTTAAAAGCTGGAGCTAGGTTGTTATCTTGAACTTCAGTTCACTTGAAGCAGAGGAATTGCACCCACTGGCACCTGGTCAGGCTCTTAACACTGAACTTCTGCTGATCTTGTACTTCAGGAAATTTTATTCTGGTTGAAACTTAGAATAAAGAAGAAGTATGTTCAGTTTTTAGGTATCAATAGAGATAGCATGGTATCAAAAAGGATAGGTATTTTACATGATATATCTACTTTTAGTGTCTCAAATGTTTTCCATTTTGAGGAAACTAGAGTAAAAATATTGGGGTATTCTTTATTGTTATTTATGAACTTATGCCATTTCAGTAATCTCAATAATAGATTAGGAAACCATTTCTAGGGATGCAGAGAGGTTCAGCACATCTGCTTTCACAGTGGCTACCTCAAGTTTTAGTTGTTTTCTAACACTTTTGGCATTTTTGCTTACAGGTCTTTTTTGTTTTTTTTTTTTTTTTTTTTTTCCTCAAATAAAGGAAAGGTTCTCTCCAACCTAGAACACTGTGATTCTCATTCCTTAATTAGTTGTCAATAGCCAGATGAGGCAAATCATTCAGGGTGATGGCAGTGATAAACAGAGTTACTAGATGTTCAGGAAAAATTATCTATGTGCTTTTTTATGGTGTTAAGAGTAAGGAATGAGATCTAGGTACATGGAGGAACTTAAGAAAACGTGGGTGAGAGGAGATAATTATTCTAAACTCCTTTAACAAGAAGTGAGTGCTTCTTACTTGCTTCAAGAAGACAGCAGCCAGATGATGAAGGGTCTAGTCAGTTGAAATTCTTAGTTCAAAGCAATACCAAATAAAACAAAAAAGCCCCAAACAAACACAAAACAAAACACACAGAACCAAACAAAACCATTAGTAGCATAGTCAGGTCTTTGGAACAAAGACTTGGTTTGGTTGATAGCTAGTGATCTTGTGCCAAAAACCAGAGAAGTTTCATATGTAAGATTATAAGATTAAAAGTGCTCTTCTGACCATAAGTTAAAGAACTAACATTTATAACAAAAATGAACCTACTCATACTTCTATCTGGTAAGGTTAATTGCAATTTAAGATAGGATGCTGATGGAAACTTTTGTTGTACTTACATTGGTGATGCAAAAAAGGGCAAGTAGGAAAGTGCCAAAAGAAACCCCAAAGGTGAAGAGCTTCCTGTGCTGCTTCAGAATGTGGAAATCATCTGCCAAGCCAGTGATGACAGCCTCCATTCCACCCATCTGAGGGAGGGAAGGCAAGAGCTCTGGTTAAACCCTACTGCTGTAGGTACAGACAAAGAATGTAAAGCAGCTGGTATCCTAAACACCAAACCCCTCTAAGATTTCTGACATTTCAGCTGTAAATCACTGGTGTTATGAGGCTTAATATTCTTGTGGTAAAGAACACAGGAGAGTGTCAGGGAACTCAAATGTGATGGTTGTTGCCTCCACAGCCATATCCTGTGTGGACTCTTTGCTGACTCAGGACAATAAATACTTTGGGCAAAAAAAAAATACATTTCAATATACTTTGGAGAAAAAGCTGGTAGATTAAGTAAATAAACTCCTTAAGATATTTCTTATATAAAGACAGGCACAAGAAGCACCTAGAGGAAATGTGCTGAACAGGGATTCACTTTAGCTGTTTAACGAATTCCAGTTTGACAAAAATCTTTACAGACCTGGAAGAGTTACTACATAGGAAGCTGGATGTAATTTCTTTTTGTTGACAATACGAAAGAATTTTACTTTGTTTTCTAGAAATTAATGCCCTTGTTTCGCAATACAAGAAAGGTACTTTCCAAATTTTCATTGAAATTCCTGGCTTAGGTAGGTGGTTATGAATTTTAATTTCTTTCCATTAATGAAAACATTCTGCCCCCACTCACCAAGAAGCTATGAAAATTAATTTCAGCCTTTTATCATAATAAATAAATTCATTTAATATTTTGGAGAGGTTGGATTCCATGATTTTCGTGATGCTAGGATACTCTGGCAAGATATGGAGTGCTTGGTGTAAAACAATAGCAGGTTAGTAAGTGCTGTAAGAAATTGATGAAACCAGCAGCTCTGGTTGAAATCAGCAGCAGAGAACTGTCTGTTTAGGATTTGAATGATTCCTGTCTAGAGCCAAAGAGCTGAGGGCAGTGGACCCAATTTTTCTTTCAAGGTAACTAATGTTTCCATGTAAAATGCCCCAAAACATAGTGTAGGTTTGCATTTCCCAGTGTCTCAGGGGGCATCAGTGGATGTCCTGTAGTTAAGATGGGTTAATATTTGATCTTTTCAGGTTATTACTCTGTTGGCACTTAATTGGTCTTGGAGAAGTTGAAAATGGAAAGAGACAGCTTGGACTGTTTTGGTAAAGGACCTCTAAATATATCATTATTTATTCCTCTTGTTAATTCCCTATACCAAGCTAGATATCTACCCCAAAAAGTATCTGTAAACATTTGTTCTGCTTTATGTCCTTTTCACTGTTACCTGCTTAAACTTGCATGGTCAGATTTCTCTTTCTTTAACATTGTGACAGTTCCATTTTTGTCCAGACCATTCCATTTTTTTTTGTATTTCTGTGCCAGTGGAGGTTTATGTGCATGAATAAAATTAGTCATTATAATTATTCCTCTCTAGCCTTGGGGTTATTTGATTTTTAGCTTTAAAAATTTTAATTTTCCCTTCAGGGACTTGATCAGTCAGATGTGGGGGGAGAGTTGAGAAGATCACCATAAATAGTACTGCATGACCTGAGTTTTCCTTGGGAAATGATGACAAATCCCTCCTCTTCTAGAAAGAAAGAGCTAAACTTGGCCACAGTTCATTAGTTCACAGTATTTAATTAGCTCCACAATAAAGACCTTTCTCCACTTGTAGGAAAAGTGTGTTCTGCAATTTAAAGCTGCGTCTTTGCCACTCAAATGTTTCTTTACATTGTCTTAAATTTACTGCTCTTGCAAAGTTCAAGTTTTGGATCTCAACACTTCTGAGCATTTATTTTCTCCCTAATTCTGTCCTTTTCCTACTGGTCATTCTTGCTCTTTCATTGTGCTAAACTCTTCATTTCCATCCTCTGTGTTTGCTTACAGTGGAAAAATGGCCAAGTTACAAACCCAGATATAATCTTCCCTCCAACTTCTGTGGAAGGATTCAGATCTTAGTCTGTAAAGACAAACTTCATTGAACCTGAGCTGGAATCCAAGAATCCAAACATTTCAGAAACATTTAGACTTGAATCTGACCTTTACAGCTCAGCCCTCACTCCACAAGATCTCATTCAGCTATTTGCCAATGAATATCAAAGCTTCCTGCTCCAACCTCATTTTTCTTCGTTTTGCTCTTCTCCACGTTGATTCATTCTTTCCCTTTCTTGTCCTTGAAAATGAATGAATTTTCCTGAGGTTGTAAGCAGTGGAAACGCTCTATTTTGCCATTTCCAGAAAGAAATTCCTAGATAAACTCTGTACATTCAGAACTACAAAAGAGACTTCTATGCTTTGAAACAGTAAGAAACCCCTACCCTCCTAAAGAGGATGAACGTCTGTTCATGGTTCACTATTTCTTAAAGACCCTATTTGGTTTTCCCAGAAACTAATCAATCTTTAAGCTAAATATAACAGGATATAATTTGTGGGATGAAGTCTCTGTGATCCTGAATATCATAGTGTAGTAAAACTCATCACATTATGGAAAGAGCAAATACAACTTGTTTGACTGGACATTTTACAGAAAGATTGTAGTAAACTGAAACCACTATGAAATATTCTGGTGTGATTTTTAAATTAAGTATTCTGGTGTGATTTCTAAATTGTGTGTCTAGAGCAGATGGATGGATTTCAGCACATATAAAACCCCCTTCTAGAAACCACTTTACTCAATGTCTTACTGTGTTTTGCAAGCAGGGTTCCAAAACCTTATTGCAGGTTCATAGTAGTAACAGTTCATAGTGGTGTTGTTGAGTTACACCTTTAGACAGTAATAATTGCTGATGAACAATTTATGACGATCATAAAAAAGTAGTAGTGAGTAAATGCTTTCTAGCTTGTAAAAGATTTGATCTTTTCCTAAACCTCTTAATGATTGTGAGTCTTTAAATACAATACTAGGAGTTATACTGTTACTATGTTACCTGTGACTGTGAAAACATATTTAGGGAATGTACAGAATGTTTATTTGAAATGTAGCCCCCTGTTTAAGGCTGATACCTCTCCACTTATAGAATATAACAGTAAAAGAAAAATGTTGAGGCTAGGTGGAAAAATTACTCACAGAACTGTCGATGCCAAGAGTGAGGAGCATGATGAAGAACACCACTGCCCAAAATGTAGATCCTGAAAGAGTTGAAATTGCCTCTGGGTACAGGATGAAAACTAAACCAGCTCCTGGAATAGAAAACAGACCAAAAAAAAAAAGTATTACTAAATGATGTTTCCTATCATCACAAAAGTGCTCATTTTAGTAAGATAAATTATGAGTAAGTTGACTTTTACTTCACTTCCCACTACACTCTGAGTAGCTGTTAAAATATGGATTATACCAAAAATATATCCAAAATACTTTAATTATTTACTCATGACAGTTTAGTATTAAAAAAAAATCTATGCCATTCTTTCCACTTCAAATAACCTTGTATGGCATTCACAACCTTACTGGCTGTTTCTCAGCAATGTGGGGGAGAAGGAACCACGTGGTGTGGACTCCAATGTTTGGCAGGAAAACTTTTGGGTATGATGAGAGTTACCAGTGAAAGGACAACTGAGCTGAGCTTACCAGAACCATCAAAAGCAGTCAAAGGCCTGTTTGTTGCACAGACAACACTTGTGGGGGGCAAGATGTTGGGGAAGCTCAGTCCAGTAGACGTGAGATGGATCAATACCACTTAGAGTTCACATTTCAACAAGGCATTTAAACATAGATTCTAGTTCCAAGCAAGTTAATACGAACTAATATTAATATAAACACATTTGCAAAAAAATGGTGAACAAAAAGGGGTAAAATGAGTATAAAATTAACTTCCTACCTTCGGTAGCTACATCTTCAATTTTAACTTTGTGCTCGTGAGCCATGTAGCCCAATATGGAGAAAATGGCGAATCCTGAGATGAAGCTTGTGACACAGTTAATGGTACTTGTCAGCAAAGCATCCCTAATTGTGGAAAGAGGAACAGCCCAGTGAGGGGAAAAAACCAAAACCACTTTAAGAACTAGATAGGCATTGTCTTTAACTTTGTTTTTTCCTTTCCATCCTTCAGTTCACTATGTATTTATTGTACATGTACTTCCTGAATTTATATTTCATGGGAAAATTTAAAGTGATCCTTGTTTTCATTCCAAAATGGAATGTTAGTGAAATGTCTAAATGTTGGAATTTCTCAGAAGGTGCAGAGCAGTTCTGTTTGAATTTCCATGGCGGTGATTCAGCAAAGCACTTACCGACTGTCTTGATTTAAAGTGCATTCCTAAATTGGAACTCAACATAAAATATCAGAAACATAATCCCAAAGCACAGAAACATGTCTGGAAACTGGAATCTTTCTGCTCTTAGTTCCTGGACCAATAAGATTTCACCCTGTGTTCACTGTTGCGCTTAATGGTACTTTTGAAAGGCAAACACCAGCACAGTTTACACAGCTGTCTAAAGTCCAGATCTAATCCCATTCTGTTTTTGCAGTGCAGGAGACATCCTGGCAGGTTCCCGTTACTAAAATATCAGTAAGGAAGACAGTGTTACAAAATTTGGGTTGGTTGCTATGTCTATGCAGAACTCACCGTCATTAACAAATGACAGAAGATAAAGATAGCTCAGTACTGACTCCAGCTGCAGTTAGAGTAAAGCAGGATAATTTTGCAGTAGTAATGAAAGAATAGGCTCTTACCTGTAACAGTTGTTGTCAAACTTATTGTAACTGGCAAATGCAATTAAAACACCAAACCCAGCTCCTAAGGAGTAAAATATCTGGGTAGCTGCATCAATCCACACCTGCATAATGACACCAACATGGTCAGTGTCAGTTCAGTCCACAGGGATACATCAGGACAAGAGCAAGATGAGTACAAAGCAACTGGCTTTTGGAAAACAATTGGCATTGATGCCTGTGGCAGTGAAAGTGCCTCCAGTCCCAGTGAGGTGTCACAGGGAGCATGGGCATGGGTTCTAATGCCTTAACCTGTGACAAGTTTTTGCTGTGTGCACCCTGCTACCTTTGGGGTGGACAATTGTACCTCTGAAATTTTATCCAGTACTGAAATGATTCCATGGTTTTTCTCCTGGGTGGTAGAAATACATTTCTAATAACACTTGTTCCAAGTTAGTTTGGAATGTACAATCAGAAAACTAAAAACAGTTAATGGATCAAGAGTTCCCATATTAGAGCTTTCTTTGTGTGACTGCTAGTGCACTTCATATGATGCTTTCTTGATTCAGAAGCTGAAGCACAGTTAATGTGCTGTGAACAGAATCAGGTAGGTTATCTGTCAGCTTTTTCACTCAGCTGCAGGAGTTGCAGAAGAAATTGCAGTTCATACAGGACTCTTTGGTAGCATGGATTTCTTTCACTAAATAGCAAGACAATCCTGTAATACTAACGTCTTATTCTTTTTACATACCAGTTACATCTTAATATCCTGTTTTCACACAAAGGTTGATATCTAATAGGGTTGTAGTCTCTTAAATGCCTTTATATGGATAAAAATGCAGAAGGAGGGATGCAAAGCCTTTTATATTTTTTCTTTCTTTCCTTTTTTTTTTTTTTTTTTAACTTCAGATGACCCTTGTTAACAAAATTCCTGAACATTTGTAACATCAATTTTGTTTTAACCACAACTAGGTCTGCATGGGGCCACCATAAAGCACTTGTTTTTTGTGGTTCTCTAGCTCTTCTGTGTCTCGACAGTGCAATTGCATTCGTTGTGCTTCCCCTTTCTCATTATTCAAGCACCATTAAGCATGTGCTTAAGTCTTATTGATTCAAGGAAGACCTTAGCACCTGCTGCCTCCCGAAGGACTTACGCACATGCTCAAGTGTCTGTTGAGTAAGAGTCTTGGCTCTTAGTAGCTGATTAGGAAACAAACTAAGAAGATCAAGGTGAACGTTAAAAAGAGCAGAAACCAGAAATTCCTTTACAATTGAAATTAAATGCAAAAGGTTCCCTTTGTTCTACCAAAGCAGGATGTGAAGCAGACAGTGGGGCTGGTTCTGCTGCTGATGCTCATGTTTTCTGTTCACTTCAGCTCAATCTGATTGATGCATAGTCAATATATTTTATGATAGGTTATTGTTTTTATATGCGTGAAAAATGAAAGAAAAAAAAAGCATTTACAGGAGGCAGCCATCAATCTTTCCAGTGTTCTTCAGTGTTTGTCATTTTAACTTTTGCGCATATTCTTTCTTGTGTATGTGGATTTAAAAAGTTACTGCACTGTGAGGAGAGGAAACAGAGGAGTGTGTGCTCCACCAGGTGTTATATAATCTTCAGGATATTCGCTAAGGTGTATGAAAGAGTGAGTGTTGCCTCTATGTTTGATTTAACTCCCTAATTAACACTAATTCCTTTAGCAGAACACAGGTTCTGTTTCACACAGATGTTTAACGTATCCATTTGAGCAGTGGAAATGAGCATTGTGACTTTGTGGCTCTTGGGCTTTCAGCAAGGAACATACCCAGTCATTGGTCTAGTTAAAAGGCCCTCAGGTGAATATCTTTTTCTTCTTTTTATAGAGACACGATTGTGGACTCAATATCCCTGAACACTGAGGTGTCCTGGGGCTTGTTCAGAGCTGTCCAGGATGTGGCTCCGTAAAATGAGGCACACCTTGACATGGATCTGGGTGCTCTAAGGTCTTCTAGAAGAGCATTGGCAGAACCCTCTGTAGGTCATTACTCTTTGTGACTTATGATGTTTCTTTGTTAGATTTTTCATTTGGAAGTAAAAAAAGAATCATAAATCAGACCCAGGGATGCACTGACATAGAACTGAAGTGGGATTCTCTTCTTTGGAGCCTGAGAACTAACAAGACTTATTGCAGCAGCAGGTATCCCAGTCTCCAAGAGGGGAAAGGTTGACATGGCAAAGCAGTTGGTGAAACTTCTCTGCATAACTGTTCTTTAGTCTTTCATTATTATTGATCAACTTTTTGTTGTTGTTGTCTGAAAAATTTAGTCGTAGCAACAAGTAACTTTACGGTCACTTAAACAGCAGCTGCAGAAATAATAAGCCATGAAAGAACAGTGCACAGAATATCCTTCCAGAAGCAGAAGGCAGCTATGATTATGGGGGCCTAGATCCTGAGCTGGTGCAAGGTGACACAGCCCCATAGATATCTAGTTGAACTTGGGATGCTTTTCTCCAAACAGCACTTAAAATACATAAGAAAATTTAATCACCTCCTTTGTTCATCCTTGCATCTTTGTATTTATGTGTATGAACTACTGGGGTGGCTACTGCCTTGTGATGAAAGTCCCATATTTGAAGTTTGTTTTTACTATTCCAAAATTGTCAGGTGGGGTCTGGGTTCTGGTGATAACTTCTGTTATGGAAGAAAAGCCAGTTTTCAAACTTAGTATTAAAAAGCCAGGGAAGTGTTGTTCTGCTAAGAGTATATAAAATAGGTCTGTATTCTAATACTCAAGGTCTTTTTTAATTATTCTGGAAAAATCAAGGTAGGATTCACAGGAAAGGTGCAATGCAACTATGGACAGACTGCAGACCCTTCTGAAAGCTGCAAATTTTCATGATGATGCATTTACTTCTAGGAGAATGATGTCATTGCTTTTCAGTTTCATAACCACTTGAATGGCCTTGTGACCCATCCATAGAGATATCACTGTCTTATAAATGATTTAGGATCGTTTTAGAATAGTACAGGTAAAGTCTCTCTGTAATCATCAGATCTTTGTTTTTTGTAGGTCTGAAATGCCAGTAAAATCATGAGTTAGTGACTATACTTGTAGATCCTGCTTTACAATGTATGAAATAAGTCTTAGTTCCAAGTTGCTCCACAAAGTAAATTGGTTTGGATGTATTTAATGTTGTTAATGTTTTTAAATGATACAATGAAATGTAATTTACTTCGAATAGCAAGATTAGAACACCATACTATTGAAAATCTCATTTGTACAAAGGACCATGGTTTGAATAGGTTAGTCCTTACCTTGTATATTTAACAAGGTTTGCATAGGCCAGGATTTTTAACAGATTAATATTAAACTAGTAATTAAAAAAGCAAGATTTGCTTCTTGAGGGAATTCTTAGCCTTTTGAGAACTAAATTTTTGCATGACTCAATTTTCTTGTATAAAGAATACTGTGATTTACTGGGTGCACGGTCAAAACATGGACTTTTTAAGGGTCTGCCACACATGTAACTGCCTTCATACAAGTGTTTTGTGACCTGAATTGTTTGGGTTCAGTGTGAAATAGTCCTGTTATGGAGAGAGTGGGAAAGTTAGACTATCACAGACAGTGGACTAGTGCTTATGCAGAAGCAGAAGTGTGGCTATATAATCACAGAAGTTAGCTGTAATATTTTCAGCCTTAATAACAAGGTAATAGGTTTAATAATAAGGGAATGAGAGCAGAAAAATACACTTACTGTGGCTTCTTTTAATCTTCTGAAATCTATGTGCAGGTATGCATTTATTCCATTGTATGCACCAGGGAGGGTTATTCCGTGTATTAGTAAGACAAACAATACAACATAAGGCAAAGTGGCTGTTATCCAAACAACCTGCAGACAACAGAAATCCCAAAGATTTATGAGCTCACAGAGAAGATTTAAGAATATGTGATAAGTACAGCTGGCATTTGCTTGGTTTTGTCCATGCAGTTTGATGGAGAAGTTCTTCACAGGACATCTTGGGGGAAAATGCTGTTATGTATCATGAGTCTTTTCATAGATAAGTTGACACATACCAGTATTTTGACAAACAGAAGACATTATCAATATGTGTTAGACTGCTGATGAGCTGCTCAGCTCTGTATCATTTATTAAAGAAGTGCAGTCATCATATTAGGTGATACTCTCCTGAAAATGTACAAAAAGCTCTCAGATGTATCCAACCCTAGAATTTCTCTCGAGGGATGTCAAAGAGTAACTCCAAATGACTTGATCAGGTCTTTCTCTTGACAGCATTTTATATAATAAAACCAAAGCATTCAATGCCATTGAAGCATTAGTACATTTGGCCAAGAATAGGATGCACGTTTAAGACAATTTTGATTATTTAAAAATATTTTCTGGATATGACTAATTTTCACAATTCAGAGATTTTTGTTGAATTGAAAATAAAATGCTAGCAAAATTTCCAGTTATAACATCATGCAAGCAAAACTTGCAAATAAAATAAAGGCTGAATTGGGATCATGTGTTTTCCTTGTAGATATGTGAAGGTCTTTCACATGGTTTGGTCCCTGAGGATCTCTCAGAAGCAGAAGTGATTTATTTTCTTGCTTTCTAAAATTAGGAGACTTCTTAAAGGAGACAAAGAATGTAGTTGAGATAGAAGGATAATATCAGCTCTACCTTTCCTGAAGTCTTCACGCCTTTCCATAGACTAAAGAAAAGAATGATTACCACCACCAAGAGGCAGAGGGAAAGTTGCCAGCGAGGCAAGCCAAGGTCATGGATCCCACGGCTTTCGTGCAGGTGCAGAACTCCTCGCCTACACACCAGATACACAGAAACAAAGCCAAGTCACTGCAGGAAAAAGGATTTGACATATCTCATGCTGTGGGCAGCAGGAATGGATGCTGCACTGCAGCAGGACTTGCCCTGCTGGCATCACTAGCAGTGAAAGCTGTGTTGTGAAGCCATGTTTGGCTTTTCCCCACAGTGCCTTTATGGTCTCATAGTCCCATCACTGTTTATCACCACAGTGCCATGATGATACCATGCTCTCCTTCACTGGAAGTATCATTGGTTTATTCTTACTTGAACACTGAACAATGTCCAGAGAGGGTGCAGAACCTCTGTCCTTGAGATTTTAAAACTTGGCCAGTAAAGGCTTTCAGCAGACTGATTTGCTTTTTAAGCTAGCCTTGGTTTTGGGTAGGAAGTTATATTAGATGACATTCAGAGATGTCTTTCAACCAAAATTGTTTTGTGATTCTAGATAAGCAAACAGCTGGCTTCCTGCAACTTGAGCAGTTCCAACCTTATTTTCAATTTCTCTTTGAAGAGGTTATTTTGAGGGTGCAAAAAAAGTGGTTGGATAGGAGAAGCAACAGTTGGTAAATTTAAATTGGATACAGTGCTCTGTGTTATTCACTGAGACAGTGGAGTGATAGCAGAGGGAATTCTGTTCCTTACCAGGGCAGGCTAAATCTTTTGAGACATACAAAGAGAAATGGAGTGTGGAAAAGAGCCTTTGTCCTGCAGAATGGTGATTATCTAGTTAAGTTGTCAAAACCCATTGCATGCAGCAAGCACAGGGATATGGAAGAGATGTTACAGTGGATCTCTCTCCCTTTAACTCAGCTCTATGCTATTAAGTGTCTCTTGCTGCTTTTACAGATCTAAGAAACGCAGTAATATTTTGCTTTACTGAAAGCTGTGTTTGCCAGGAGGAATGGCAGCGTGGCTGGAGCCCTGTTCCAGAGGTGAACTGCAGAGCAAACTCCTGGTTCTGATATGGACCTACAGGATGCTGTCTCAGGGATTCAATTTGTTAGTGCTTCATTGCCCATCCAGATAAAATGGCCATGACCTTCCATGTCTCCTCCCTTTCTCTGTCACCCGTTGTTTGCTGTGCACTGCTTGGGTAAAAGAGGAAGTTGATCTCTGTTGGCTTCTCTTAGGTCCATAATAGTACAAACAAATCAAATTAAAGAAGTCCTTTTCACTGGAGGATCTTGATATGTTTTATGAAAATAAGTGCATTTTAGAGAAACTGCAGACACATAAGGACTGATTCTGAACTTGCATTCTTTGTGCCCATTTAACTTATGCCCAAGTATTTTTTTTCTGCTCCCCTGTGTGCTTGCTTTCCAAGAAACACCTAGCAATGTGTCCTACTGCTTGGAGCACTTGCCAGAACTGCCATTTCAAATGTGGGATTCCCGGGATTTTCAGGAGAATCTCTGTTCCAAGAGTTCTCCCTTAATCAGGGAAAGAGATCATAAAATAGGAAGAGAAAAATACTATTGTAACCACTCAGAACAGCTGTGTAACTGGGCAACTAAGCAAGGAAATCTTTAGAGACAGCTGCTGTTTCTGAGACCTAATTCTGGCAGGTCTTGCTTCCTTTTCCTTTTATTCTGGGGTGGGGTTTTTTGTTTGCTTGTTTGTTTTTTAAATTTTCTTTTTCTTTGTGACCTCTGAAGATAAGTCATAAAAGCTTTCCAAAAGATGCCCTTTTTGAGGAATGTTGGTAAGCAGGTAATCAGTGTTTAATTACTAGAACCTACCTTTCTGTTCCCCTGGCACCATAAAGTATAACAGACCTAGTGATTTAGGTTAAGACGTGCTGACATCTGAAGGAAAGAAGCAGTGGCCAAAGTTTAGATGGACTAAGATTGTTTGATTTAAAGAATAAAGCTCTGTAACGCTCTTTGAAAAACAGTCTTTTTTTTTTTTTTTTTTTTTTTGAGGAGGGCAAATTTGAAAGGAATTTTGCATTCTTTATTCAAGTTAGCACACATCAATAATGCTACAGAAAATCCAGTTAGCTCAATCATGCCACAGTTATTTCACATCAAGGAGTGCTTATTTCAGGAACAGCTGAGGCTGTTTTAAGCCTGTCTATGTTAAGGCAAGTTGAGTGATAAATCCCTAACTGGGTCTTTTAGATTATACTCAGTCACTTCCCTTATACTGGCTACAGTGAGGAAAATATGAAGTAAGACATGTTGCAAGATTCCCCATTTAGGAAACTGTGAGGTCAAACCACCTGAATTTGCAGTCTTTTGCTATTATAGCAGAATAATGTAAGGTGGTCAACATCCATTCCTGAATCCAGATTGTCTACACTAGCTGCAGGATTGTCCCATTTCCCAGTGCCATGAAGATATGTACAAGTCATAGACAAAATGGCATAAAGTGTTCCCTTAAATCCCCAAGCCAGGGAACCAGAGGAGGTACAGCACCAGTGTCAGCTTCTGTTCTCTGTCAGCTTCTTCAAATTATGTCTAGAGCTACTGGGAATGTCTTAAATAAAAGTTTCTGAAAGCAATCCTTACTTCATAAGTAGAGAGATGTTTGTCCAATTCTGCTAACAAAATACACTCTCATCATTCAGACCTCTGAGTCAAAGAGAATGGAAAAATCATGGGTAGTATGACAACTAGAATTAGTATTTTGTTATGGTTGAGAAAAGAATGAAAGTAGATGAGAAATACATGCAAAAATGAGAAGAGAATATTATGGGGGAAGAAACTGAGAATAAACATTAACAGATGGAGCTGATGGAAAGTAGAACAGGGATCTATTATTTTGTGCTGAGCAAAATACAAGAGAAGCTAATAAATGGTTTAAGCTTTCTGATATTCTAGTCAGAGCTCCAGAAATATTTATTTACTGCTGCACAAAGAATGAAACAACATGCACTAGAGAGCAGGGATTTGTGTAAAGGAGCTTGATTTATGCTAACACTGCATTCCACTTCACGGAGTGTAAATTACCTTTGCAATGACTTTGAGACCACACATGTGGGTACCAAGAGTCTTTCCACCTGTCTGCAAGAGGAGCAGGAATGTGGAGGGGTCTCAGATTGAAGCTGTTTGGGTGCCTCTGGGTGCTCTGCAAAGAGCTCTGAGTAAGGCATGGCTGCAATGCCAAAGGATGGCCTGGCTCTGGGAGAGTGCTCTCCTACACACAGCACAGGAGGGTGGGCTGAGCCATTTGTCGTGCAGTGCATGTGCCCTGTGCTCTCCCCAGCTCTAGACACCAGCTAGACACGCTCTCTCCAGCTCTGGATACCAGCTAGAAATGCTTCATTGTCTGGGTTTTCTGTTTCTCAAGATATTTCAGCTCCCTCTTGTGTTGGAGAACAGAGGTGTGTAATGGACTGCAAACGAGATTTTGGGAATCATAATTTGTCAGCGGCACCCTGGATGGCATGTAATAAATTATTATTTGTATTGAGTGAAATGATACTTCCCAGCTCACTGAAATCTTTAGCCTTGTTGGTTCTCCCATTAACTTAGCAATTCTGACCTCCCCTGCTGTGGTGCCCCACTTGCACACACTCAGGGCTCTCCAAAGTTTACTGATCTCAGAAGAGCTGCATGGAAAGACATAAAATTGCCAGAAGGTCAGTCCCAGGAACAGGCCCATGCACCACAACCTGAGGACTGCTGACACATTTAAACAAATGAATGCTCACTTTATGGTATGCCATTTGTTGTAATGCTTGCTCCTTTACCCAGTGAGCTTAGTTTGTTATCTTTTCACAGAGTTAATGCTTAGGTTTGGTAGTTATGGACAAGCACTTTCCCTATATGGAGCAACACATAAAACACTAGTGGTGATATTATGTCACTACTGTCTGGTAGAGAAGATTTGATGAGAAACAGGTGAATACAAATAAATGGATGTTTAGTTGTGTGTGACAATTTTATTGGCTTTGCCTGGGGGGATATGTGCAGGTGGAGATGCTCCACAGAGAAAGGCTCTGCTTTCTGCTTGCCTGGATTTCAAATGCAAGATAATATAGGGGAGGTGCTGCAGCACTGACCTCAGCTACTGTAGTGACTGTAAATATTGGTACCACTGCCAAACTACACGGGATTCTGTGTGTAAGTTAAGCATTTAGAATTCCTCCTGCAAGTTAGCACAAAGCAAGCCAATTGCACAACGTGCAGCTCCTGACATTTGCAATATCTCATAAAGATTCTCTGCAAATTTAAGTTGTCAAAGTGGTTCATCAAGTCTTCTGGACTTGCTACACAGGGGCATGTTGTGGTTCAGGAATCATTTCCATAGAGCTGCCCAAAGCCTAAGAATGTGTGTATACTCTTACAAGGATTGACTTCCACTGTACTCACATTTAATTTCTTTTCTCTTTATATAAGTAAATGATCAACAAATGTGAAGATGTGAACAAACTTGAAAAATACATTTCAAAGCTATGCTTGTAAATATTTGTGGCATAGCTGTTTTTATTTTATGAACATAAATGCTTGTAGCAGAAGTTTCTGTGTGATTGAGTTACTTCGATGAGTCCAAAAAAGTCAGCATGGTCAAAATGAAATACACAATGGCTGTGTAAACAATGCAGCCAAACACTTCTTAAGTATGCCTGTGCAGTTAATATCGAATTGTATCTAAAACAGCTGCCTTATTGCTGTTTTACCAATGTGCCCATGAATCTCTCACACAAGGTATTTAATAATGTATAAGATTCTAAACCCACTGAAATCAGAGGATTTTTTTTTCTGTTAAATTCAGGGTATTTTCTAGGGGTGAAGGTACAAAACTTGTCTAGAATTCTTAGTCTTGGACTGTGTGATCTCTATGAAGGTAAACAGCTGACTGCTACCCAACTTCAAACCTCTCAGAAACATCTGACAAATTGCCTTTCAATTAAGATGCAATACATGAGTAAGCCTTAGAGGTCTGGAGAGGTTCTTAATTTCTCATTGCTTACAAACTCTCTAATTAGTTTATATAGTATGAATGTTGCATAAAGAAAACCCTTAAGCTTCAGATGTCTTCAGAGGAGCTTTGTTGTCCAGAAAAGCGGACACTGGGAACTGCTGATCATGTTTAGCATGAACTTAGAGTCCTTTCTTCCCAGGTGTGACTGGCACAATATAGAGCTATCCACTCTGATTCAGTTTTTAGAAGCATTTGTAGGCAGAATTGCTTATGCTGACTTTTGAAGTGATGTTATCTCTTTTGGGAAAGGTTGCTCCACAGTTGTTTTAAGGGGACACGTTCCTGCATCTTCCTTTGGAGCACACAGTGGTGATCACTCCATTTGATGTGATATCAAAGTTTGTGGACCCTTTGCCTGGGGTGGCATTTCTGGTGAAGAATTGCACCCAAAAGCAAAAACTTATTTGTCTATAAAAGTACCCTTTACTGTATATGGTGAGGTTTTTCTCAGGACATTCCTGGTTCATATACCCCCCAAAAATAGGATAGATGTATACTGCTGTTACTGAATCTTGTCTTTATTCCTTGTTCTTAGGTAGGTTTTTGCAATTACTCATAGCTGGGCAGACTTGTGAATTCTGTGAATTTCCTTTACTGAATCAGGCATGAAAATTTCCCTGTAAAAGTGTTTTTTATTTTTCATGCAAAAAGAATATATTACAGCCCTGAGAAAAAGTACTATGAGAAGTAGCTGTAGCTTATTCTATTTGTTGACAATTTCACTGTTTTTTCTTAAAAATTGCCAAGATTTGTTCCTACAACAGATCATGATTTTTTACAGGCACGGTACCTCATTAAAAGAATAGTGGTTTTGTTCCTCCAAACTGGTATTTTTTAATTGTCAGCATAAATCAAAGAAAGATGGTAACAAACTTTTCCTGGATACAAGGCTGGAGAGAACAAATATAAAATATGCCTGTGTTCAGGCAAAGTATTTGAATAGAAGTGACGTGGTGTAGATAGGGGAACTTTTTTTCCAGTCATCTACTTCTGCTTTTCCAAAAAAAAAGTTTATAATGAATTATTTTAACATATGTGGAAAGGCTAAAAGGTTCTTTGCATTTTGTGTTTAATTCCAAACCACTGAAGATGGAAGTAAGTAATTAAAGTGACGTGTGCCTCCAAAGAAATGTGGAACTGACATTTTATTTCTAACTGGATTTCTTTTATGTCTGGCTATTACTAGCAGAAAGGCACCAGTTGTTATTAGGTTTGGCTTGCTTTGCTAAGTTTGCAGTGTACAAATACTTTATAACTGATTTTACCCATCTCTGATGAAGTATTGTAGAGGTCCCGTTCTTTCCTGTTGTAGGAAACTGTCCCTGTGACATTAACGGCACCTTGGCCTCAATTAAGCCTGAACAAATGAAACCAGATTAAGTAAAATAAAACTCTTTAGAGGGTCTCAGTGTAGAACCACTTCAACCTCAATTACTGTGCAGCTCTTGAGGTTTGAAAACAAAAGCCAAATAAGTTTTTGGAAGTTCTCCTGTCACTGCCTTGGCATGGAATTTGCAACTTTAAGTGATTTCTTCCAAGTCTGAGGCTTAGAGGTTTCTCCCTGATTTTCCTCCCTGTCAAATACTGGACAGCTGATAGATTTGGATTGCAAGTTTTGCCTTCTCTCACTTCATGTAAGTGTTGACAACCAGCATATTTCTATTGAATTTGAGGTACCTTTCTTGAAGTAGTTGATGAACTGTCACATCACAGTACTCCCACCTCTTCCTATAGTTTATTCCTGTGCTGATGGAGATAGAGGCAGTCAGCTCTGGCAGCTACAGGGTTTTAGGAATTAATCGACTCTCAATTCATGGTCAGGCCAGATTTGTGTGGAGGAATCATGTCCCAAAGAGAAGATGTGCCTGTTTCTTTTAAGGGTAATCACACCAGCCCTCTGCTTGCAACCTGCTTTGGAAGTACCTCTTCTCAATCACTCCATCTGCACAATGTTTGGTGTTTCTGATCTCCCTGCTCCCCATTCAGCCAGTCCACCAGAGGGTAAAACTCTCTGTGTGTGTTCTGACCTAAGTACACAACCTAGAGAGCCACGTTTAAGCTGTACCACTTCCCATTTCCTGACCCTGTGGCACAAAATAAACTTTACAGTCAGAAGATTCAGCTCTCCCTGTTTTAAGAAGGCCATGGGCATGACTTGGGTTATTTGGCCTAAGAGAAGAAGCACTGCTTTCTGATTTGGTCTATTAGATTGGATCTGAATACACTAAGACTTTGCACAAGTTTGGGTCCACACCTGAGCTGTACAGCTGGACTTGATGAGCTAATCCAAATACTGGATAAGTGAATATAATGCCCCTTGTGATTCCCTGTTTTTACAGCTGGGGAAACAGATGCTATAGATTGTTTTACTTAAGTGATTATTCCTCTCATTTTTTGCAATATAATCTAGCTGCTAATAAGTACAGGGCCTAGGGACTTCATTACAGCCCCAAAATTCAGGAATCAAAGCATAATGAAATGTCAAATTCGCTTTTTATTCTTACCTTCTGAAAACTGCACCTCAAATTTATTTCACAGTGAGGAAAAAACCAAAATATTTCAAGTTTCAGTGTACAGACAATCACAAATAGATCTGTTCCCCAGATCAGTGGAACTAAATCAAAACATCATGGATCCACTCTACCCCAAGCTCACCCACTACAAAATCAAAATCATCCCCCAAACACAATGTGATAACAGAAGATGCACAGAACCACTTTAAATCATAAAAAGGCAAAGCAAGAATATAGGGATTACATTTTGCTTTACAAAGGCTTAAACCCAAGAAAATTAAAGAAACCCTTTTTTAAAATGTTGTTTAAATGAAAGTTCTGTAATAATGCAGTTCTTTTAAGATGCAGAGTTAATAATTTCTTTTAGTTCACTTTGAAGTCAGGTTCTTTGACTACATGCATACACAGCCTATTGCTATAAATGATCTATCTTTTCATTGGATTTGTGAACATATCACATATTATAAGGGCAGCAGATTTCATAGCTGTCATTATCTGCTGTTGCAGTGAGTTCCTTTGAACCCATATTGTTTTCAGAGCACTGAGTTTAGTTTACCCAACCCCCTGCCAACACCTTGTGTATCACCACTGATCTTTTGCTGTGCTGTCTTCAGAGAAGAAACAGCAGCCACAAATGTTTCAGAGCTATAAACAGAGACCTCCAGATCCTTACTGTAGCCAGACTTGGTGTGACACACACTAGGTTATTTATGGTAACAGTGATGTCCCTTTGTTTCTACAGGATTGGACTCACTGCTCAGCAGGTGCGTGCCCTGATATCCTTCTACTCCCAACACAGAAATATTAACTGATTATTAAGATTAATTCAACAGCTGATTCAATTAGTCTGATGCTCATCCCCCTTTCTTTCTACTAATCAAATCCCATTTTCCCCTAGAGGGCCATAATGCAAATATTTATACACAGATTGACATTTTTATTTTCTAGTTCAGTTGTTACCTTTCTGGGGTTGATTTCAAATGTTTGATGTGAGTGTGCCAGTCTGTCTTGACTCATGTTGCATAACACTATCCTGTTTAGGAATCAGTAAAAGCCTGCCTTCTTATAACCTGGCTCTCTCCTCCTGCTCAGTGCTCCATCTCACTTCATTGAACTATTGAAGCAGTTGAGCAAACAGAGGTCTGCTGTCTGTTCTGAAATATCTTGCAAGGAGAGAAACAGTCTTTGTGTTTCTTTGCCCTGGCAAAGTTAGTGCAAGTAAAAGTGGTACACAGAGAAGGTTTGTGTCTTGTCCAGTTCCATTTTGCCCAGTAATATAGGAGAACCCACTAGTATAGGAGAAACCAAAGCTCACAGAGGCAAGAGAGTCACCCAGGAATACAGATCAACATTACAACTCCATTTTAACCTTGCTCTTCTGATGCTCACTCTAGAGGCTAGGTGCTGACTAACCTGCAAGAGGGAACACTCTAGGACATAGAATTTTGAATAAAAAACAAAGTCAAGTCAACACTTACTCATAAAATTCAGCTGCAGGAGTGAGCTTGTACTTCGAGTATTTAGTACCATTGCCAAGCACTGATGCATTGAAGAGTTTGGGATCTGTACAGTTTGGACTGTTCCAACTGTTGTCACAGTTTGTCCAGGGGAGTTCAAATGTGAATGACGAAAACAGATAATACAGAGACCAAGCTATGATAACGTTGTAGTAGAAACCCACGTAAAGAGCTATGAGTATCACTGCATAGCCTACACCTAAAGACAAAGGAAAACTAGATTATACATTGTGTTTGACATGCAACAGTATATGCAAACACTGTAGTTCAACTCAGCCATACATGATTGCACATTCGTTTTAGATCTTCACAACAGTAAAAGGAATTTTTGCCATTTACATACACAGATGCAGACACAATGTCCCTGACCTTAAAACAAAAAATTACAGCAATGATTTTGGAAAATGACTGGCTTTTATCAAATCCACTTGTTTGCCAGAAAAAGAAATTAAGCAATGTCAAAATTTGCCCTTGTACAACTCCATTGCTGATTTGCTTCCAATGCAGAAGATTGCAAGCCCATGTTAGGAGCGAAACTCACTTCATCTTCATGATGTCAGAGACCTTGGCAACTTCTCTTGGAAAAGTAAAGCTTGACACTTAAATGAAGTTTCCCTATGCCTCATGTTCCCACCCTGAACTAGTTTGGAACAGACACCAATCCCTCTCTTGTTTCTTTCCCATCATTACTCTCCAGTTTGGCTTCCATCAGCATGTAACTGGTCCAAAACATGCATGAAACAGTCTGTCCTATTCCACTGTGGGTCTCCAGGTGGTTTTTGGGCATGCCAATAATCTTGGTGAATATCGAGTTGGGGTTAAACCGCATATGGAGATTCAAACCTTATTATTATCTCCCCAGGATTACAGAATTCCCATTGTAAACATCCTCTTTTGATTTTGAACATTTGCTTTGTATTTTTGCATATTGTGAAGTGTGTTTGGAGGAACCCTTTAGCAGAAAAGGCCCAGAGTGTGCCCGTTCTCCTCATGGAAATGGTCATTTTCCAGTGGTTTGGGAGGAGGCTTTGGTACTAATGTTGGAGCAGAACAGAAGTTGATTGCCAGAATTGTTCAGGAAGCTTGCTTTACCTTATCTTCAGTCATCCTTCCTTTAGTAGGTGTGCAGCATTGTTCCCTGAATCCTCCCCCTAAGTTGTGTGTATTGCATATAACAGATAGAGACTACAACTATTTTATACATCTCTGTATTGTCACAGCACTCAAGTGTAAACCTTTACTTCTCATTTTCTTCAGTTTTGATTTTTGGAAATACTGCATAGGAGGCCTAGCAGTTGGAGATTATTAGGCTTTCATATTTCTGTATAAAGCAAGGAAGTAGCACACACTGTGAGTATTAATCCTTGGTTTCAAATTTGCATAAGGAACAGATGCTGACCCTGAAGGAGTTGGCAGTTCAAAGACTGCTGCATGTACGAAAGTTACTCTTTGCTCTTCGGGAGGCTTTTAATCTGTAGACCAGTTTGCTCTTCCCTAACAAGGGAAAAATTGTGAAAGTAAAGATGAAATTGTATTTTCAAATCCTTGATGCTTAAATGAATCTAGTACATGCACACTCCAGTGATACAATAGGATCAATAGAATGGAGAGGAGGGGGGGGAATCACCCAAGGGGATAATTCTTAAGTATTAAGGTGAATGTTAAAATACAAATAATACAAAAAGTATGAATACTACAAATAATGTATGTTGAGCTGAAATTGGAGGATTGCTATTTAAAAAAAGTGTTCCTGAAATTCCTACAGCTCAGGAGGACAATGAGAGGTGTTTAATATCAAGATTAAAAATTAATGGATCAAATGTCTCTTAAACAGGACTTCTCTGAAATCTCAAGAATGTTCAGGAATGAATTTGCTGTCCTGTTTCTAGGCTTTCTTAAAAGTAATGCTGCTCCACCCACAGTCTAAAATAGACCCTGGAAAAATGCAGAGATGAAAACAGACTGTGTTACAAAGGTTACAGGGTATATTTTTAATTGGAGTGTTATGATAGCATCCCATTAGAAGTCCTTAGAGTTCACAGCAGTAATATTCATAGCTAAAATTAGTACTATAGTGCTGTTCATTTAGAGAAGCTGTTATAAATTTGTGTAGACTGTGTACTTTTCCTTTGAGTGAGAGATTTGAATTATCCCAGAAACAACTCCAAAACATGAGCAGTAAAATGTGTTTGCATGCTATCAGAAGTTTTAGTTAAAACTTTAAAAGTTCTGAGTTTATACTGAAGTGCAGATACAACTCAATGCTTATTGTTTTTGAGAATCAAATAACTCATGCTATTCTATATCCTTGTAATAATAACCCTTAAAAATCAACAGCAATGTATGTTTAGTCCACCTTGAAAATGTCAGCTTAAAAACACAGCTGGAATGTCAACAAGACCATACATGAAATAAGTTCTATTTTCTTTTCTCATAATCTTTTCAATCCTGAGGTCAACACATAGAGTACCTCTGAGCACAGTGGTATTTGGCTCAAACACTTTGAGATCCTGAAGGTCTAATTTTTGCAGTTAGGTTTTCAAAATCCTCATTGTCATACAAAGGTATTAACTGATACCGATAGGAATTTTGATTGTTCAAGGGTCTTCAGGTTACTGGCTGCTGGGATGAATTTTTTCTCCCATGATGGGATTTTAAAAGGGCAAGGAAAATCTATATTTTAAATTTTTGGGGTACCTATTTTATTAGCTTGCTAATTTATTTTTTGTTATATCTCTGATTTTGCTATGTGTTTTGAGTTTGACTGGTAAGAAAGAAAACCTTCACTTTTCTTATTCTGTGACACTAGATTGCTTGAAGGGGAAAGCTGTATTTTGAGAAAGAAGACTAACATTTACTCAGTGTAACCTATATCCAAGCAGCAGATCCAACAAGTTTGCATTGCTACTGTTAAGCTCCTCAGCTTTTGTCAGTCACAGGATGAACATGATCAGAATTTTAAGGTTCTAAGATCAGCTGAGCTTGACTGGTTTCATTTCAGATAGCTCTGTGTTGAAAAGGCTTTTGTGTAAAATTCAGATACAATCTGGTATAGATACAAGGAAACTTTTATTTCTTTGCTGGTAAGCAATGGTTAAGAAAATTCTTGAGGCTCCTTAACAAACACTTGTTTCATGCACAGAACACCTATGGCTTCTCTCACACAGGGAGATCCCTTTATCCCTGATCAATACCAAACACCCTGATCAGCATCCAAACACCTAACTTGGCTATTTTTCCCTTGCAGAATGATTTTAAGTCAGTGCACAAACAACACTCCACAGCCTTTTATTCAGCGGTGCTGGAGAGTTAATCCTAGTGGAAAACACTCAATAGTAATAATAATGTTCAGATTTTACTAAGTGCTTTTCACTGCTAGATTTGAAAACCACTTAACAAAGTCTGTCAGAATCATTGCTCCCATTTCATAGGCAGGAAAACTGAGGCACAGAGATACCACAGATAACTCTTGTGGTACAAATCTAGTGACTGAGCTACAGTCTTCATGTTTTAGTGTTGTAGCCTCTGTGGTGTGCTGACTTCTGCAGAGAATTCTCCATGATCTCTGAATGAAGTAGTGGTTTTCTTAGTCAATGGGGAAGACAGGGCCGAACTGAACCGGATGGGATTTGGTATTTCCAATGTTTGCATTGCCAAACCCTTCCCTCCACCTAGAGGTATCCAGTTCCTCCCACTCCCCTGTATGGAGGGGAAAGGGAGGACAGGGCTGAATTGATCCTGCTCATGGCTCTCTGTTGCACTCAGCCAGCTACCACCCTGAAGATGATTTCTGAGGCTTTTCCTACTTTGTGCTTCATCTGTGATAACAAAAAGATGTCTAAATTCACGGACTGGGGAAGGGTCACCAAATACCACGTTGTCTGTGAAAGCTGAGAGACCTTTACTTGGTTTGTGATCACAGGTGTGTGGCACCCTCACAGTGCTGAGGGACACTTACCTTTGAAAACTGGACAGATTTTCCACACAGTGGCAGCCCCTTCTCTGTTATATTGTCCCAGTGCTAATTCCATATAGAACAGGGGCATTCCCGCAATGATCAAGAACAGGATATAGGGAATAAGAAAAGCACCTGGAACGACATTAAAGTAGACACTGTAGTCTTGTTTACATTTTGCTTTCTCTGCTGCTTACATTCACTGGTTGAAGACAAAATCATTGCCTTTGGGAAGCAGAAAGGAAATATCAGGAAGGAAGAATCCATATTTTCTTGTCCCTTTCCTGTATTTTTTCTAAGGTCTTGGAGACAGAACCCTTAAAAAAAAGCTGCCAAAGCTCCTCTTTCTCCCTAATGTTTCCCCTCTGTTTTTTTGTCTTTAAAAGGGAAAAAAGGTGTCTCTGAAAACTAGTCCCTAACTGAAGAAAAAATGATGCTGAACACACTTGCACAGCTGAAAGGGAAAGGGACTATGAAATTTTTTTGGTTTTGTTTGTTTGTTTGTTTGTTTTTAGTATAGTAAAAAAGGTTCAGAAAGGGGTATGGAGCCAGCAACAGAGGAGACAAATGTGCGTTCCTGTAAGTGCAGCTTAAATCATACTGTGTGAGGTGTCTGCAGGAATCTCTGGCTTTAAAATTAATCACTGCGAGCCAATTATATGGAATGTGGTCTTCTATGGTATATGGTGGTTTTTGCTGTAATAAATTCCCTTATTCTTGTGAAATGGGTTAGACCCCCCCCCCCTTTCCAATGGCTCATGGCCACTAACATGCAGGATGTACCAGGTTCCACTGCTAGGTCCAAGCACAGCATCTTTATATTGCAGCAGGACAGTGCCAGGGCTGCTTGCACCTTCCTGGAACACATCACTTCACTGGGCTGAGGATTCTCCTGTGAGTTTGGACTGTCACCAAAAAACTGTCACCTCTGGAAAAATCAATGCTACTGTAGCATAGAGCATATTGCCAACTGAAATACAAAAGCATCACCTAATGTAGAAACTATCTGCAAACTTCTTGGCTATTTTATAGGATCCAGGTCACAGAGAGATTTTCCCAGTGCATGGCTATATGTGATATTATAAAACAATTATAGCTGGTGTCATGTTTAATAACTAGGTGCTCTGTCAGTTCTCTGTTTTGTGGTGCCTGCAAAGTGTAGCTTTTATTTTATTGCAGAGCTTACTTGGTCAAGAAGAGTTTAATTAATGCAAAATTTTCCTCCATTAAAAACATTAAAAACCATAAAACCCCCATTATTTGCTGACTGACTAATTACTTATCCTGACTAACTGACTGCTGTCCTTAGGAGTTGCGTATGAGAAGGAAACCAGATAGTGAAAATCATGGTTCAGTTTTTCAGCAAAAGAAAAAAGAAACCCAGCAGCTTGTCTGTTTTTCCCAACAGAGAGTGGTAGAAACTTTTGCAAACCTTTAAAATCTGTTGTGCTGGTCTAGTAATTGAAAACTTCCTTTGCAAAAGGAAGTAAGTTTGCATTGCCCCTAAATTTATAAACGTAGAGAAGGTAAAAAGCTGAAAGCATGACTGTAGCTTTCTGAAACACGTGAGTAAGCAGAATTAATTGCATATTTAAAAAGTATTTCTGAAACTATTGTTGTGCTTTTAAAAGTCTGAATAGTTGTTCCTTTACCTTTCGTGTTTACTTTTCACAAATATTACCGGTGTAAGCTGCCTAACTGTTCAGAAAGGGAATTTTGAGTATATACTGGAGAATAAGAATGGAAAAACAAACTGCTCTCTTAGTCATACCACCAATCTTCATCTAAAAGTAACGTGCTGTAACATAATGGTAAGGACAATGTATTCAGCATTCAGTCATAAGTTTAGTCATTTGAAAGTTGAAATCTCGCAATGGAGAAGAGACAAGGTATATCAACAGAAAGAAAGAATAGCTTAAAGCTCTGAGAATGTGTACTAAAAATTGTAATATATTGGTTGTACCACTTAGGGGGCAAGAATCTTCCTATTCATGATGTTTATACGGAGTGCAATATAAATGCAACTTGCATTTGCATAAGTTACTACAGTATCAGTGATAAATGTTTTAATAATATGTTAGTGTTGTTTGTAAGCTGTTTTCAGTGATTGTCACATTGAACTGTTGTATGTTTGAATATCGTACAGCAAAAATATTTGCATTCAGTAGACACCTGATACCCTGCAGTTCTGAGCTCTGTATGTCTCAGTGGTGAAACACGCTCAGCAAAATCAGTCTGGGATACTACATATTGCTCTCACTATATCTAGTACCTGGAAGAATTATTTTAGGTGCTTTTACTGTCAGATTTCCTGTAAGTGAGCCTTTGAAGTGCCATCCTTGTCTTCCTGCAACAGTGTCACAGTGTGTGGAGCTGACTCACAAACTCAGCTTTTATTTGGGAGGCACAGAGTTTGCCCGGAGTGCTGTTTGATTGATGTCATGGGACTGTGGCAAACACCATGCCTGTTCAGGGGCACTTGTATCTGAGAAGATTAATCCAGGAGATGCGTAGTGGACACAGCTATTAAATGCTAGTTTAAAATACGTGGTTTTTAAGTATGACTAATAGCAAGATGAACTGTGAAGTGTACTGTACTTAGGCATACTTGCTAAAGCGTCATCTATGTGGCTGCGAGTCATTCCAGGCTTTAGTTAAAGGAGGTTTCTTTCTTTTTTTCTTTTTTTTTTCCTTCCCCCGCCCTGCCCCCGCAAGGGATTAATAAGGTGTGGTGTAATTTTCATCAAAGAGCACTTACACAGTATGGCAGGGTTTCATAGCTGGGTTACTTTTCAGGTACTAAATGATTGAAGTATTTTGAAATTGAGATAAATACCAAAGTAAGGGTGCTTAGTCACATTAGTTTGACTTAATGTTTTGGAAGTCTTCTGGAAACTTCTTGTTTAGCAGCTTCTGATTAGGAAAAAAATAGGAAAAAATCAGGAATTTTTGACAGCATCTTTATATTTGCTCTTATCTTCTTTGCCAATATCCAGAATCCGATTTCACAGTGTTCACTCAACCCTTTCTGAGATTATGACCCCTACAAAGAAAAATAAATGATGGTCAAAGTATCATTCAAATTTCCACAAAATAGAATGGTCTGCAAACGCTTGTAAACAGCATCTGTGTGAGAGCTGTCACTCTGTGACTGCACAGGGGCTCCATCCTAGGGCTGCTTTGGTGAACAAAAGGTGTTGTTTGGAAGGAGACTTCTTTCTGTCCTGCAGGCATGAACAGCCTGTGGGCCAGGGGGGAGCCAAACCAGCATCCTGGGGGTCCTCTTGCTTTAGGTCCACTGGTGTGAATTTGAGCATCATACCAGACTTCTCTGCAGGAGTAACCTTGCTGTTAATGCCTACCCTGTCTATGAAGGCAAAATATTAGGAAGGGAGAAGTGATGTCAGCTGTGCCACCAGCCACAGAAAGTGCTGTGCTTTACTGCATGAATCCAAAGGCAGATTCGTATAGGCCAGACAGCTGAACTCTTGGGAAGCACAGTTTGGCTAACACTTCAGACTAGCTTGCCAAGATCTACCTACCTCAGAGAGCTGAGGGAATGCAATCTGTGGGATCGCTGCTCTGGCAATAACACGCTGATAGCACTCAAGGGGATTCCACTCCCCCACGGTGTGATGGGTTGGGGCTGAGCACACAGCTGCATCCCACAAGGCAATACTAGCTTCAGCAATCCCTAATGGTTCCTAATATCCCTTTACAGGATAAAAATCTGAAGTAATTAACATCTGTAATGCAGCCCTGGCACAAGAGCCATACTTGACTTGCTACTGAGTCACGAGCACCTCAAAAGGGCCTTAGACTGTTGTGAGCTGCTATTTTTCTCTCCTAACAGATTTCACAAGATCCATATATGTCCCTTTAAAGTACCAGTGTAAACATGGAGCTAAGACAGCCTTGTGTCTTATGCAAAACTAGATTAGGTCAAGTCCTCAGCTTCTACAAGAACCATCTGTGTGAAACTTCAAGTGGAAACTTACGCAGAATTTTTTTTTAAAAACTATTACATTTAATTAATGAAGGACGGAATACAAGACAGGCTTTTGCATTCCTGTGTTTAGTGCCAAAACAACTTCTTAATTTTGGTGTACCAGAATCCACACGGAGCGTTTCCTCTCTTTGTACCTCAGCATTCCCAGCATTCTAAGGGGTGGGAAAGAAAGCTCAAAATACTCCTCTCAATCCTACTAGGAGGTCTCATCTCACTTTTAAATACAAAACAGAAAAAAACATTAATTTACTAATGGTTGAAAAAAAGAGATAATTTAAACAGCTGTGGTTATCCTGAAAGGACTTTTGATGCACAGACAAGAAGTAGGCCAGGACATGGGGTAGTTGAAACAACTTTGAACTCTTTGTGCTCATTAGCCTTCTGCATTTGTTACCATGGTTATTTCTGGTCAAAATGTTATACTGGCAGGGATGTCTGCTAAAACAACAAACTTTGAGCAAATATTGCAGTATATTTTCCGATAGGAGAGTTTCCAGTATTTGCGCAGGAAAAGTCTAAAAACAGAGATCTCCCAATTGGTGAGTTGAAATACAAGCTAGTATCTCTGTCTGATCAACACTGCTTGTGGGTTTGTTTTTTTTTTCCTGCAGAATAAATAGTGCTTCAAACAATTACAATAAAGAGTTGATAGAATAGGTAGCAGTATGTTGATAGCAGTTTGTTTGCTTGGACAAGAAGGAAAATGAGTGGAAACTCTAATCTGTGCGAGTCCTGTGAATGAAAAACGAAGTCCCTGAAGCAAAGATCTTGAAATCGAGATTGTGCAAGACCCTCATGGGTAGAAAACTGGGTAATTAGAAAGATAGGTATTCCTTAGCATATGAATGTTATTGTGGCTCTTCAGCAGACAGGCCACCAGGCCTGCACAGCCCCCAAGGGCACCTCTGAGCCTGCTGCTGACGCCTGGGAAGAAGGGGTGGAATGTTTTAAGACCTTACTGACCTGAGGTTAAAAACAGTAAGAGTTTGTGTGGCACAGCAAAGGGAAGACTGAGATACAAAGGAGCATGATGTAACCCCAGGTCAAAGACAAGATGATGATGTTGATGTTAACAGCAGCTCAATGATGTTGTTGAGCCCAGCCAGCAATAGATTATAGTTGTCAA